GAGTAGTGGGAGTGGGAGAGACAGGGGAGGGAGAAGGAGAAAGACAGATCTCGGAGGTGAAGAATCTTGGAAATCTCAGCGTTCTTGGGCCTGCCAGTAATCAAGCAGATCGGCAATCATGGAAACACATGCTAGCCCGTCGTCAGTATTCAGAGCATTTCTCTTGATTTACGAGACACGTGTAGCACAGCAAACACATAGTTTACTGATCAAAAAGCTTGCCCAGTCCGAGCAACCGCACATGGCGACATGCATGCCGACGGTTTTTCAACCCCGCTGTGTAGAAACTTATTTACCAGTGCCAATCTGAAGGGAGAATATCACTCTAGAGAGCTAAGAGCAGCACATCAACTCTCTTCAGCCACGCCACCTCCGAGCCGAGCACGTGTTTCTTAATATGGTTAATTGCCACATTACTTTGACAGCACAAGCTAGCCCTGCCCTTAGCCTCAATAACGACTTGCGCTGCCCAATCTCTTTGTTTTAATTGACCTCTTTAAATTTGAAAAATTAGCTCTAGAAATTGCGACATATTACGCACTCAACCAGGAGTAAATAACAGCACATGAACAACACGCATATTATTTACGCACCTAATCAAAAAACACGGCGACTCACCACCAGGTCTTATGAACTTGTACTAGCCGATACAACTAGCGGCGCGACAAACCTTAACTCATTTCTTGCTGTGCTAACGAAATCAAAGCTGGACACGCGCTGCGTCACCCCCCCCCCCCTGTACACACTACTAATTGCCACTATTGAAAAAAAAGCCCTTGCCTTCCAAGCTAATCATCGCCAGCCCCAAGAAACTTGCTCTGCGCCTCTGCCGTCACGCACACAGTACGCCATAACTCGTGAGAGGCAAGCGTCGTCCAGTCACGCACTTGCCACGCGCAATCGTTCTTGTAAGGCGAAAATAGATGGGACCACCAGCCTGCTGACAAAAACACACGGCTAATGGAGTCACGACTGCATCTTCATAGGACTTTACAACAGCTGAGATTCATTGCTTTTTTCGTTCCCCAGGCGTGATGCAAGGAGCTTTTATTAAATGTTACTAACAGGAATTCACGAAACACGAGCGCTGCTGTATCGTCGTGCAGGCAGCGCGAATGCAAGTGCATTTGCCAGAGAGGTTAGTTTGTAGTTGTCTATAATTATGTTGAATACTATTTTTGTTTCGCAGCTGCGGATGCCATCGCATCTCTACCTATAAACATACACCGGAGTGAAGTTTGAGAAAAAGAGTGAGATAAGACATTATTAGATTATTTTAAATTTAAATTTATTTTCAGGAATCGATGTTTAAGTTACATGGTTTTGCGCTGCGGACATGCAAGGCTCGATTTCTCTATATGCAGGTACCTGAGTAAACTTGAGGAAAGATGGCATGGTGCGACGATGTCCGAGAAGCAACTTCTAGATTCGGCACTTGCACTGTGTCACGAAGACAAACAGAATAGGCGACGTTCAGGGCCTGAAAACAAAACAAGAAAATCACATTACGCGCAACAACAACTGCGACCGGTTCTACCTCAGACCTAGGTATCAAATACGTACTACAAAATGTGTTACAGGCTGTGTGCGATCCGTGCCCTGCATGGGCAGTGGCATCGTCTCCCCGCCGCTCATTTCCTAATCGATATCAATAGCCAAGCGATGTATGATGTGCCAATGTATCCAACTGCCAATGTTTAATAAAATATAACCCACATTACGTATGCCTCCATAAGCATTTTTTCTCATTCAATATTCACCTAGAAAGGCACTAAAACCAGATTATACAAAAACTGGCACCATTAACTGCGCAGTCCGATCCGGTGTCGGAGCGCTCGGGTGCAGAATCCAGCCCCTCGTCCCGTCCACATCTTCCAGTGACCTCTTTGCCCCGCCACACCCCAGAGAACAAGAGGCAGACTAAACCTCAATATCGCCTAGCATTCTACCTCATTAAACCCTCGGCTAATCGAATGACTCATAATGCCGCGCGAGACGGCCCGTTACCAATTTCCAAATAACGATCGCTGGCTAGCTCTGTGTGCGAATCCGATTTGCCCGAAACTTTAGCGGATGGTTGAGGGACTACAACAACACCACAGTGTACGCAAGATGGAAGGAAATGCATTATTCCTCTGCACTGCCTGTACTGACCAAGATCGATTTAGTGGAATAATTATTTCGGCAACAATGAACACAATAAGACACTGGCAAGGCCACGCACACACTCCCAACCGAATACAAAAGGGCTAGTAGTACATCATGCACAAAAGCAAAATTAGTAGCTGACAGTAATAAGCAATAACAAATAGCAGCGGATGGATACGACATAGACTGCATTCCCGACTGGCGATGCGAGATTTAGTTTATATTGATCTTCATTGTTTATACTTTATTATTATTATTTGATATTTCACTATTATTTTAGGGTTATTAAATATAATAGGGTTTGCCTCTGATTAATGGCCATTATACTTATGCTGACTATTTAATAATTGATGCAATATTAACATATCATATACAATTGTCGTAACTGTGAGCTCGCACGGTGAGTAGCATATGAATAAAACGAGAACGCCTTAATATCCTTGCTATACCTACTCCCTATGGGCCTGCCGTATCCTATTCGAATGAATATTTTAATATATTCAATACAAATGTAGTCACTCTCATGAATCTAGCTTACCGACCCGGTACTTGTATGTCGTTGGGATGAATATACAACACACAGCGGCGTGTGTGTATTTATGTGCTCTAATGAATCTAAAATACACGTGAGTGGATTTGTCTGCCTTTGGCATCGTGAGCGACAGGCTACCGTGTATGTGCGCTAACTTCACGGGCCTAACGTGCATATATGTGCTCTTATGAATGCGCACTCCCACTGCCCATGTATTTCCATCTAATGGCCCCATGCGCGAACTATGCCTGTAGTCGATCCGCTATGAATCTACCTGCACAGTGACTGTACCTTGTCTCTGGGGGTCCTGAAGCTTCTCACGGCTGGACACTACGGCTGCCTTACATGTCAATCTACGAACTCTAGTCTGACAACTGTGGGAAAATATCGTCCATCACGACATACTAGCTGACGACTACCGGCATGAGGCATTGTCATCTACCGAATCTGGCTGGACACCTGGCCTCGTACTATAGTCACATGCAACGAAATCCTACGGACTGACACTAGCCTGCTATACTGTCAGTAACAGCGAGATCTACGCTGACAATAAACCTGTATGTCATCAACATGACATATAACACTGGCCGGCTGTATATGTACATCAACGGAAGGTCTAGCTCGACACCACTACGTGGATAGTAGTGAGTGAGTGCAAGTGATGGACATTATGACGAGCTACAGGCCTGTAGCTATGTCAATCTAACAAATCTCAGCGTGGACAACAGTGCCCTGTATATGTCAGTCTACGAACTAGCTGAACAGGGCTGTAAGTAATGTTCATCAACGAAGTCCTGAGCTGAACACTACCTGTAGTGTCAGATCAACGCATGACACCTGATGACACTGCCATGTATATGGTAATCTACGCATCTAAGCTGACGAATCGTGTACCTGGGTAGTATGGTCGATCTACAATCTAGTGTGCTGTGAGCGAGTAGCGGGGGGTAGTAGTGTCGGATTAAGGGCGAATCTAGTGAGCGGAGGCTAGCCTGTATATGACTCACTACGAATCTAGCTGACAGTCACCTGTAGGTAGGGGTGTCAGATCAACGGATGCAATATGACACGCTGCGGCTGTATTGATGCTGCGACATCAACGAGATCTAGCCGACACTACGGGCGTGTGAGTATGGCCATCTACGAATCTATGTGACCAGACTACCTGTAGGGGTATTGTCGGACTCACTCAAATGGGTCTTAGTTTGACACTGCCTGTAGTATCATCATCCTGGCATTATAGTTGAGGCGGGTTGCTATCACGAAAATCTACAGTGACACTGCCCTGCTAGGGGTATGGAATCATCTTACTGAATAATGGACAGTATGACCACTGCCCTAGTATAGTCCTCCCTCAAGCGATCTAGCTTGACACTGCCTGTATATATCACCTACGAATACTAGCTGGATACTGGCTGTAGTATATCATACTACGAATTCTAGCTGATACTGCCCTGGTAGTATTGTCAATCAACGATATTGTACGTTGACAATACCTGTACTATGTCCATCAACGATGACCATATGACACTACTGTATATGTCGCATCAACGGATGACATATGACACTGGCCTTAGCTGTCATATAGTCATCAACCACGACCATCAACGAATCAATCGAATCAAAAATCTAGCTGGACACTGCCTGTATATGTCATTTATGAATCTAGATGACACTGCCTGTATATGTCATCTATGATTCTAGTTGACATTGGCTGTACATGTCATCTACAAATCTAGCTCTGTGAATCAAACCGACTTGCTGCCTATGAATTCGTTCAATGACCCCCGCAATAAATTCACCAGGACACGGATTCAATCAATCTAGGTAGCTGTAAGTGTTTCAATTTATAATTTAGCGCAGCACTGGGGCCCCTCACGCACGCAACCGAGCTAGCACTGGTGAGCATGAGTTAAAACACGACGCCTTGTCTGAGGGCCGCTGTCATTCAATACTGAAACACGGCCAGCAGACCAGGTGCACAATTCCACCATAACAAGAGAGTGGACCCTGGAATTACAACAGAATATAAACCACCGAGCAGCCACGTGCACACATTACCCTACACCCCCCGAGATGAGACGGCGTAATTCAACACCAGCCTGATAAACACAAACAGCAGTGGTTGGTCCACAATTACCTACAAGAGATGGGACCCTAATACAACAGATATAAACACCAGCAGCCAGTACACAATTACCTACAAGAGATGGGACCCTAATACAACAGGTATAAACAGCAGTGGTTGGTCCACACTTACCTCCAAGAGAAGAGGCCCTAATACAACCGGTATAAGCAGCAGTGGTTGGTCCACACTTACCTCCAAGAGAAGAGGCCCTAATACATCGTTCGCCAGGATTGTACGTTTACTGGAGGACACGTCACTCTCCTGTACAGCATCACTACTTCCACTGCCCACTGCAAGATAAGAATATACACGTCAATCGGTCAGAAATGTGCCAACGTGCCAACTCAAATGTGCCGATTTTTAATTTCGTGATTAAACACATTCACATATTGCAAGGCTTCATTAAACAGATGCTAGCAGCACAGTAGTAAAGTCGCATTTACAATGCTCGATTGACAAACACTGCATCGATAAAGTCATCTAGCTCTGCAGTACAGCAGCACTGAAAGCTAACGACAAATTTCAATAATAACAATAATGATAATGATGTTGTTGTTGATGATGATGATTTAGGATCTCATTTAAGCACTTGGTCAATATAGTCTTCGCATTTCTAAAGCACCTGCAAGGAATCTCATATGAAGACATTTTTCAGCTGTTTGTGCAGTTACCTGATGAGTCTGGGTGCGTGGGTATGAGCATGTGTGTGTGTGCGCGCGCGCTTGCATCTCCACCCATCTTCGTGCTTATGTGCATGTTGGGGGCGACTTAAAACAATAATTACATTGAATTCTCAGCACTATAACACGTCTGCAAAACCTGCACGCCGTCTGCCAGACAGACAACCTATTCCACTGCCAAGTAGTAGTATAGACACGGGTGCAATCGCAACGATCCGCGAGAATTTGCCAACAACACTCATGCACGGAAAATGACGAGCAAACCTCACCCCTCCGCTCCCCTTCCCTCCCGGCTAACCCCATCACTACAGTAATTACTCGCCGCAGGTCCTTATCGTCTGCGTGCCGCGGCGGCGGCTGTATGCTTGACCAGTCAGCCGAGGAAATCGAGAGCCGCGGCAGCGCGGACAGCCGAAGCGTGGTGGTGGTGGGCAGGCAGGGAGGGAGGAAGGAGGCATCGTTGATCACGTAGCTCGCACATACTGCGTGCGTGTGCGTGTGGGTGTGTGTGTGTGTGTACGGCGCGCGGTGGTGGTTCATCGAACCTGTGAACGGACACTGAACTGCCGAGGCGTATACACATACACATACACTCAGACGCACACGTACGCATAACCGGCTGCCATTTGCGAACAAGAAGCTGCTGGTCGGTGGCGGAGAATTTCGGCACTGATCCCAGTGCGCCTCATCAATTGTCTGCGTGCTCTAAATGCGACGGGATCTCTACATTCATATAAATAATCGCTGGGGACAGCGAGATAGAGATAGAGAGAGAGACGAAAGTGGGTGCTGGTGGGGGGAGGAGAGGAGTTCTAATGTGAGAGAGAGAAGGGGAGACGAAAATGGGGAGAGGGGAGATGGAGGAGAGGAGTTCTAATGAGAGAGAGGGATACACAATGGGAGAGGGGAGATGGAGGAGAGAGAGGGAGAGAGAGAGACGATCGGGGGTGGTAGTGGGGGAGGAGAAGAGTTCTAATGTGAGAGAGAGAAGGGGAGACGAAAATGGGGAGAGGGGAGATGGAGGAGAAGAGTTCTAATGAGTGAGAGGGAAAAGAAAATGGGGGGAGGGGAGATGGAGGAGAGGAGTTCTAATGAGAGAGGGAAGCGAAAATGGGGGGAGGGGAGATGGAGGAGAAGAGTTCTGACTGAGAAGAAGACGAAAATGGGGGAGAGGAGATAGAGGAGAGGAGTTCTAATGAGAGAGAGAGAGAGTGAGAGAGAGAGAGAGAGAGAGAGAGATACATACGAACAGGGAGAGGTAGTGGGAGAGGGAGAGAGAGAGAGGGAGAGAAAGACATACGGACAGGGAGAGGTAGTGGGAGAGCGAGAGAGAGAGAGAAGGAGAGAGACATACGGACAGAGAGAGGTAGTGGGAGTGGGAGAGAGGGGGGGGGGAGAAGGTGAAAGACAGATCTCGAAGTGAAGAATCTTGGAAATCTCAGCGTTCTTGGCCTGCCAGTAATCCAAGCCAGACGCAAATCATGGAAACCACATGCTAGGTCGTCAGTATTCAGAGCATTTCTCTTGATTTACGAGACACGTGTAGCACAGCAACGACTATAGTTTAACTGTCAAAAGGCTTGCCCCAGTCCGAGCACACCGCACATGGCGCATGCATGCGACGGTTTTTACCCCGTGTGCTAGAAACTTTTTCCCAGTGCCATCTGGAAGGGGAGAATATCACTTCAGAGAGCTAGAGCAGCACATCACTCTCTTCAGCACGCCACCTCCGAGCACGTGTTTTTAATATGTTAATTCCCACATTACATGCAGCAAGCTAGCCACTGGCCCACTTGCCTCAATAACGCTTGCGCTGCAATCTCTTTTTTAATTGACCCTTAAATTTGAAAATTAGCTTAGAAATTGCGATATTACGCACTCAACCAGGAGTAAATAACAGACATGAACAAGCACGCATATTATTTACGCCCTAATCAAAACACGGGTACACCGGTTCTTAATGCTGTACTAGCCGTACAACTAGCTGCGCAAACCCTAACTCATTTCTTTGCTGGCTAAAGAAATCAAAGCTGGACACCTGCTATGTACACACTACTAATTGCCACTATTGAAAAAGAAGCCCTGCCTTCCCAAGCTAATCATCGAAGCAGAATTGCTCTGGTGTCACGCACACGTACGCATACGTGAGGGCAAGCCGCCGTCAGTCACGCATTGCACGGCAATCGTTTCTTGTAAGGGAAAATAGATGGACCCACCAGCGTGACAAAAACACACGGCTAATGGAGTCACCGACTGTCTTCATAGACTTACAACAGCTGGTTCATTGCCTTTTTCGTTCCCCCAGGCGTGATGCAAGGAGCCTTTTTTAAATGTTACTAAAAGGATTCACGAAACACGAGCGCTGCTGTATCGACGTGAGGCAGGGAATGCAAGGCATTTGCCCAAAGAGGTTAGTTTGTAGTTGTTATAATTATGTTAATATATTTTGTGGTCGAGTTGGGATGCCATCGATTTCTATACACATGCCCGAGTGAAGTTGAGAAAAAAGGTGAGATGAATTATTAGATTATTCAATTTAAATTATTTAAGTTACGTGGTTGCGCTGGGATGAGGTCGATTTCTCTATATGCACGTACCTGAGTAAACTTGAGGAAAGAGGTGACATTGTCCGAAACAAATTCTATTCGGCCTTCACTGTTCACAACAAACAGAAAGCCGTTCAGGGCCTGAAAACAAAACAAGAAATCACATTACGGCACACAAACTGACGGTTTACCTCAGCCTAGGTATCAATAGATACTACAATGTGTTACAGGTGTGTGCATCCGTGCCTGCATGCATGCATGTTTGTACTTTCCTAATCGATACATAGCCAAGGATGTTTGATGTGAATCTATCCAACTGCAATTTTAATAAATATCACACATTACGTATGCTCCATAAGCATTTTTCTCATTCAATATTCACTAGAAAGGACTAAAACCCCGATTACAAAAACTGGCACCATTACTTGCGCGATGGTGTCATCCTGCGCAAATCAGCCCTCGTGTCACACTTCAGTATTTTGCGAGAACAAGGCAGATAACTCAATATGCCTAGCATCTACCTCATTAAACCCTGCTAATCGATGACTCATAATGGGGAGGAGGCGTTACCAAATTTAATAACGATCGCTGGCTACTTGTTGTGAATCGATTTTGCCCGAAATTTTAGCCGATGGTTGAGGCGACTACAACAACACCACAGTGTACGCAAGATTGGAAGGAAATGCCCATTTATTTTGACTGTGTACTGCAAGATCGATTTAGTTGATTATTATGGCAACAATGAGCACAATAAGCACTGGCAAGGCCCACACAATCACTCCCAACCGAATATAAAGGGTAGTAGTACAATCATGCCGAAAAGCAAATAGTTGACAGATAAGCAAAACAAATAGCAGCGGATGGAGCACATAACTGCATTTCCCACTGGCATGCGAGATTTAGTTAGTATTGATCTTCATTGTTATCTTATTATTGATTATTTGATATTTCACTATTACTTTTAGTTATAATAGGGTTTGCTCATGAATGCATTATACTTATGCTGACTATTTAATAATTGATGCAATATAAATATCATATCAATTTCACTGGAAGCTTCGCGTGAGTAGCATATGAATAAAAAACGAGTAACGCAACTTATATCCTTGCTATCCTATCCTATGCCTCCTATCCTATTCGAATGAATATTTTAATTATCAAATACAAATTTGTCCTCTATGAATCTAGCTTACACTACTTGTATGTCGTCTATGAATCTAACATACACTGTGTGTATATGTCCTCTATGAATCTAACATACACTCTGTGTATTTGTCCTCTAGCTATGAATCTAGCTTACACTACTTGTATGTCGTCTATGAATATAACACACACTGTGAGTATTTGTCCTCTATGAATCTAGCTTACACTACTTGTATGTCGGCTATGAATCTAACATACACTGTGTGTATATGTCGTCTATGAATCTAACATACACTGTGTGTATATGTCGTCTATGAATCTAACATACACTGTGTGTATATGTCGTCTATGAATCTAACATACACT